AAAAAAAAAAAGAAAGAAAGAAGCTAGCCCTCTGTCAGTCTCAAATGATGAGTACTCCTTTCCAACTTGTCGCTGTTCTCCAGACCCCATGGCATCTTCTGTGTGCAGCACATCTGACCTTTAAGGAGACTGGCCTGTTGTGTTTTCCTTACACCTGCATTCCTGCCTGGGGAGAGGCTTTGTCCCGGTTCTGGGGACACAGCTGCAGAGCCAGACCAGCACCCTCACCTTCACTCTCTTGCCGTCTATGTCCAGGGAGTGCACGGTGAAGTCCACTCCAATAGTGTTCTGCTGTGTCTCAGTATAGACCCCGGACCGGAAGTGCTGCACCACACAGGTCTTCCCCACATTGGAGTCCCCTATGAGGATGACCTTGAACAGGTAGTCCATGTCCTCGTCTGAAGCTCTGGCAGTGCCAGGGAACTGCATGGCTTGGTCCCCTAGACCAGAGCTGCCGTGCACACCTGTCAGGCACCAGCAGAGGAAGAAAAGAGAGGGCAGTCACAGATTTCGCAGTGCCACTGTCCTTGGTGGTAAGTCGTGGTGGCACATGCTTATCGGTCCAGTGCTTAGGAGGCTGAGGCAGGAAGATTGCCACAAGTTCGAGACCAGCCTGGGCTACATAGAGAGGTCAAGTTCAGCCTGAACTACAGAGTGAGACTCTGTATCAAAAAAATAAATAAACTAAAAAAGACTCAGTGATGCTTAGATATTGCCAATTGCAAGGAACCCACACCTCCTGAAAATAATCCATGTTCATGGGGTGGCTGACTTCTGGGGATGAAACCTGTCCCTCCCACCTGTCTAGCCCAGAGCACCACCGGTTCCACCACGTCGCACCACGTCCCACCACATTCTTATTCCACATGACAGCTCATCAGATATTTGAGGCAGTGGAACAGTCCCTTCTGATGAATAGCCCTAGTCGCTTTCACCATGCTTCATATGATACTGACTAGGTCTCTTCATCAAGGAAGTCATGAGAGTAAACTAAACCTTATCCCATTTGATAATTTATTTTGTTTTTTGAGAGGGTCTTGATATGTGGTTCAGACTGGCCTTGAACTCATGGCAATCCTGCCTCAGCCTGCGGAGGGCTGGGATTACAGGCGTGCGCCACCACGCCCAGCTGATAATTAAACTTGATGTGTTTTAGTAACTCTTGCCTTACCACACCTCTCTTCATTTTCTCCGGATTTATGCTTTGGTTTTTCTCTAACATCATAGGAAAGACCAAGTCTATCTCATCACATGAATTAAAATGTGCACAAATATTGGATCTACATGTTAACACTTGGGCCTTCGAGGGTTGAGGAAGGGTCCCCCACCCCTCCTGTCTGCCTGTGAAATCGCAAAGGTCGGAATGACCCCGCAAACAAAAGATACAATCAAATCAGTAGTTTTTCCTCTGAGTTTTTAACTGAAGAAGGCCCTTCTACTTCCGGTGTTTTTACTACTGCAACTTGGACGGAAACCTTACTTCTGAGTCCCCTTCTCTCCTCCCCCAGCGAGCCCCATGCATTCCCCAAAGGCGAGGAGGCGACTTTCTCAGCCTGCGCACCCTCGAGGAGAAACTGAGCCCCTGCCCGCCCTGTGACCCCCTCCATCCCACGCAGCCTTTGCCTTCCTGGCTCACCTGTGGCTCACCTGTCGCCCCCCACAGGCAGATATTGTTTGCTTTGGCGCCTGGCTTCCCGTGCAGCCCTCGGCGCCCCTTCTTCCTCCTGCCTCGCTGCGTGGTGGGAACTGTAGTCTGGTCCCAGGTGGCAGGTCGGGTGGCCTGAGAAAGTGAAAGGACAGCAATCGCAGCCCCTCCCAGCCAACGCCTGGAGCTAAGGCGAGCTCTGCGGCTGAGGCGCTATCCTGCACCAGCCCTGCGCGCAGACCAGCGCAGCGGAGCAGCCAGTGCACCAACCAGTGTCTGCTGGTTGCTGACTCCACCTTTTTTCTCCTTCGCAGCAATGGGGCTTGAATCCAGGGCCTTCACACTGCGCTACACCCCCCGCCCTTTTTCATTTATTTCACTCATTTAATTTTTAAATTTTGAGACAGGGTCTCTAAATTACTAAGTTGCCCAGGGTAGCTAGAACTTGAGATCCTTCTGCTTCAGCTGCCAAGAATGCAAGAATTAAGGGCATGCACCTTATTTTCCTTGGTGACCTTTCTTTGGCCTGTGGATGGTAGAGGCAGACATCCATTTAAAGGAAGGTACTGATCTGGGTATTAAGTAACTTAATTGCTTGGTTTTTTTGTTGTTTGTTTTGTTTTGGTACCAGGAATTGAATTTGGGACCTTGCACTTTCGAAGCAGGCAGCAGAACCGCTGAGCTAAATCCCTGGCCCATTTTATTTTATTTTTGTACTGGGGATAGAATTCAGCATCTTGCACAATTGCAAGGCAGGCACAGTGCCACTGAGCTAAGTCCCCCATCCTTTTTTGACAGGTTCTGGATATGTAGCCCAGGCTGACTTCAAACTCGAGGTGATCCTCCTGCCTCAGTCTCCTGAGTGCTAGGATGACAGGCATGTGACACCATGTCCTGTGTAAAATGTGTATCTTACTGAAACAGAAGATAATTTATTCTCTGTCCAAGAACATTGTTTCTATGATTTATTTTGATGACTTTTGTTATTGTTTATTTTTCTTTTTATTGTGTGGTGCAGGGGGTTGAACCCAGGGCCTTTGTACTAGGCTATGTCCCACCCTTTTTCTTATTCACTAAATTGTCCAGGCTCCAGGCTGGGTTTGAACTTGAAATCCTCCTGCCTCAGCCTCCTAGAGTGCTGGGATTACAGGAATTCACTAGCATGTCTGACCTTCCAATAACCTTGAAAATATGATTTGCTTTCTCGACAATTCCACCTACACTTCCAGGAACCTCTCCTTCAGATCAGAGAGCCTAATGATGGTAAGTAGAGCAAGAAAACAAAACACACTGCTAATTCTGCTTCTGTGGTCCTTGAGAGTCACCATTGCAGGCTGAGTGCTGGAAGTGGAATGTAGATCAAGATCCACCACAAACGTGTGGGCTGCTGCAGGAAGTAACCCTGCTGTCTGTCATTTTCTAAGAAGTTAGGTGTAAATGTTTCCTTTCTTCTGGTAAAGACAATTGTTTAAGAAAAGGCAGCTGACTCAGACTCAGCACTCAGAGAACACCTAGTGGTGGGAGTCAAATGAGCTCGGTGTAATCCTAGCCCAGCACTCAAGAGACCAAGGCAGGAGGACCACTGTGAGTTTGAGGCTAGCCTGGGCTCCATAGTGACTTCAAGGCCAGCCTAACTGATTATGGAGGTCAAGATCAGCTATTCTGCCTCTCCCTACCCAACCCAAGTGACCAAGTGACCATAAGGACAAAAAGCATGATTCAGGCTGTGGAGACAAGGGCATCTTTGGGTCTGGCAATGGTGGCAGAGGTGATAAACTGTACTTGTTATATACACGCACAAACACAAGTGCATATTTACACATGTGCACCTGCAATACACACGTGTATATATTTTGTTATGTATAGCTAATCATTTTCACCGTACAATGAACATCATTAAATATATTGGGTTTTTTTGTTTCTCTTTTCTGGTATGGGGATCACACTTGGGACCTTGCACTGGGGAGGCAGGTGGCAGAACCACTGAGCTAAATCCCCAGCCCTACATTAAATATATTGTTAAGCCAGGCATGGTGGCACAACCTGTAATCCCAGCACTCGGGAGGCTGAGGCAGGAGGATTGCTGTGAGTTCCAGACCAGCCTGGGCTACATAGTGAGTTCCAGGTCAGTCTCAACTACATAGTGAGACCCTGTCTCAAAAAAAACAAAACAAAAAACAAAATAAATATATTGTTGTACACCCACCACCATCAGAACTTTTTATCATGCAAATTCAAACTCTATACCCACCAAACAGTAACTGCCTCCCCTAAGCCACCTTGCATTCTGTTTTCCTCTTTTCGTTGTCGTCATTTTATTTATTTATTTTACTTATTTATTTTGTGGTGCTGGATCTCGAACCCAGGGCCTTCACACTGAGTTGCATCATCCGCTCTTTTTAAATTTTGAGACAGCGTCTCACCCACCAAGTTGTCCATACTTGACTCACCAGTCATTGCTTTATTTAGGCAGATGTTCGGGGTGGAGAATGGTGACAGATGCTGACTACAGGTCCGGTCTGCTGGGGCGACTGCATGTAATTAAGCATAAGAGAACACTTCTAAAGCTTAGGCAGGTAGCACACTCCGCAAGCAGCTCGTCAGTTTCTAAAATCCCAAAGAAAGGAATAATGATTTTCTGAAAAACACAATCCGTGCACAGCGCTCCCCAAATTGATCTTCTCTGTCCTGCACTCACGGTCTGTGGCGAGTACCCACAGCAGCCGATCGCAGGTGCCTGCTGCAGCCAGAAGCCCCACCCCTTCAGGGGCGTTTTCTGGGCCGTGCACAGGTGAGGTGGCGCCCAGAGACTACAACTCCCGAAATGCCCTGCGCGATGACGTAAGCGTCCGGAAGTGGTGGCCGCCGCGAGGTGGGTGAGGTGGCGACTGCGGCTACCAGTCGCGGAGAGCGGGATAGTAGCGGGGCTCGATGTGTGCATCTGTCGCCTGGGACCACAGCAGGCTGGCGCTGGAGTAGGTCTGATGGGCTTTTGTGGACCCCGAAGGTGATGCGGAGAGGGGCTGCAGGCAGTTGGTGGGTGTGGCGCTTGGGCAAGGGCCGGTCGCCAGGGCCTGGGCCCCCTCACTGCTGCGGCGTCCTGGGACCCACGGGGACCGTAGCGGGAGGAGGACGAGGAGGCAGGGAAGGAGCCTCGGGGAGACCCGGAGTCGGGTCCGCTCCCGCGCGGCCACGGGGACTTTGGTGCCCATAGCGCGATCCATCTGCTGGGCTTGGAACCTGAAAGGTTTGCGTTTAACAAGAAAAGCTCTCATCGTTTAGACTAGGTGTAGGGGTACCTGTCGGGTGGGTTGGGGAGGCTTTTTAGAAAGGGTGTACAGAGGTCAAAGAGGGAGGAGGGTTTGTTTTGAGTGACTGGTCTTTTCTACTTGTTAACTCTCACTCTTTCAGCCCAGGAATTTGGTTTTATTACGTGTTCATCATTTTCTCATTACTCTTTTTTTACTTTTAAAAAACTTTTATTAGTACACGTTTGCAGTAGATAAGATTTGTATATGTATACAACGCATTTCATTTCTCTTCTCTTTATCTCCTTCCTCCACCCCCTTTTTATTTTTCCAGCACCAGATTCATTTGTTATAAAACCGTATAAAATTTTCTTTTATACAGGGTTGAAAACAGAATATCAATAATTCACTTTGTTTCAATTTACCTGTTATCCGACTTGAGAACACTAGAAGCTCCTCTGTAACTCTTAAAACATTTTCATACTTTTGAATTTTTGTTTTAAATTTTGGCATAATTTTTATTGAAATTTTTAAAAATCCTTCATATCAACCTAAATTATTACAGCTATTAAATGTTATATTTCTAGTTTTTACACACTCTGAAATATATCCTACTTAATTTTTCCTTACTAATAATGTGCATTAAAAATCAAAGTTTTATTATATTTTGTTCAAAACATTTACTACTTTGTATTTTGAATTTTTAAAATTAATTTTTTTGGTACTTTTTAGTTATACAGTACAGTTACATTCACCATTGGGATCTTGTACCTTTACATGATGTATCTTGGTTCTTACTACTCTTATTTGCAGAGTGTGTTCTGTTTAGTCTTAATCTTGACAGGCGGCAATGGGAATGTGTTCATATTTTGATGTTTCTTGAAATATGAGATCTTAGGCAGTCTTGTGTAATTTATTGAAGTGTTTTTAGGGAGAACAGTTCCCAGGGTAAGCAGAATCAGATTCTTAATTGCTTCTTCTTTGTCCACTGCTTTTTATTCATCTTTACACAAACTTACATAGTTATAAAGTAGTTGTTGTTATTGAAGGAAGGTGTTCGGTGCCTTGGCACTTGAATTTTTTCCCATTTGTTAAATGTTTTTGGCAGAACAGGCTGTTTATTAAGAATGTAATGTAAATTATCTCATAATCCTTAAATGAGGGAATTGAGATTTAAAGAAGTTAGTAAGTGGAAAGTCTTGGATTTCAGCTTGAACTTTAATGACTTTTTGGGGTCTCCACCTTGCTGTGTTCTCTGAATAAAACTTTTTCTGTTAATCAGTATTTGTGATCTCTGCCTAAGAAATGATCCCTGAAACAATACTTTTTTTTTTTTTTTTTTGTACAGAGGATTGAACTTGGGTCCTTGTACTTGCGAGGCAGGTGGCAGAACCACTGAACCAAATCCCTGGCTTGATACTTTTTATGAAAGTACTTTCAGCTCTATACAGCTGTCAGAAGCAAGTGCATTGTTCATCGCATAGGTTCTGTTTGGTTACTGTTCATCAGTGATAATTATATATCTCTGCACTCATCAGGAACTTGGTTTGTATTTTGTCTGGCAAAGGGAAAGATTTTTTATTTTTAATTTTTTGTTTGTGCTGGAGTTGGTACCCATGGCCTCAAGCACTGTGTCATTGAGTTACACTTTGTGCCCCAAGAGGTTTTTTAGGGGGCTGGGGGTTGAGACAGGGTTTCACTATGTAGTTCAGATTGCTCTTGCACTCACTGTGTAGCCAAGGCTGGTCTCAACTCTCAGTGATCCTCCCGCCTCAGCCTACTGAGTGCTGGGATTACAGGCATTCACCACCACGCCCAGGATGCCCCAAGAGTTTTTGTTTGTTTGTTTTTTTGTTTTGGTGGTATTGGGTATCAAACTCAGGACCTTGTGGTTGCAAGGCAGGTGTGGTAACATTGAGCTAAATCCTTGGCCCTCCAAAAGAGTTTTATTTTGAAAACATTTTGTCTTTGAAACATGGCAAAAAAAAGGAAGAACATGGTTCTAGGAATCCTTAAATAAGATGGAATAATTTTACTTTTTTTTTTTTTTGGTACGGGGATCAAACTTGGGTCCTTGAACTTGTAAGGCAGGCACCAAAACCACAGAGCTAAATCCCCCGCCCTAGATAAAGTAATTTTATAGATAAATACTAAGTATTTAATTTATGTGGTAATGAGAGAATTAAAGTAGAGAAAAAATTTACAAGAAGCTGTGTGTGGTGGTGCATGCCTGTAATCCTAGCACTCCGGAGGCTGAGGCAGGAGCATCACATGTTCAAGGCTAGCCTAGACTGCTTAGTCAGATCTGGCCTCAAAAATAAAAACAAAATTACAAAAGACTTATGTTTTTAATAAAAAGTATTTATGTGGTAGAGATGTATGGCTTCAGATTTGACATTGTGGGATTAAAAAAGGTACTTGTATAAATTTTGGGCATTGGGATGATAAATTAACTTTCATAATACTGTAAAAATGGTAAACTGAGGCTGGGGATTTAGCTCAGTGGTGCCGCCACCTGCCTCATAAGCCTGGTAAGCACAAGGTCTTCAGTTTGATCCCTGGCACCCCCCGCCAAAAGGAAACAATGCCATCCTCCTGCCTCAGCCTCCAAAGGACTGGGATTACAGACCTGTGCCACCACACTTGTCTCCATCTATCTCTCATACTTTGAATACATATAATCATTGTACTTTACAGCCATAAAAACAGAAGTTTAGGGGGATGAAGTAATTGCCAGTTCAATGCAGTTGTCATTTGGACACTGAAGGCACAACTCTTACTAATAAAGTGACCTTTTCCCCATCCTTGGATGTGTCCCTCTGGGTTTAAGGTGTGATAATTCTAATTACTTTGTTTTACTCAGCTTGGGATATTTTCTGTTTATCTTTTCCAGTTGCATAATATAAGACTGAAAGTCCGGCATGGATTTGACAGAGCAGCACTCCATTGCTTAAGAGTGATTACCTTCTGCTGGGCGTAGTGGCATTTGCCTGTAATCTCAGAACTCTAGAAGGCTGAGGCAGGAGGATTGAAAGTTCAGTACCAGCCTGGGGAATTTAGCAATTTAGGGAGACCCTGTCTCAAACTAAAAAACTAGAAAGAGAACTGGGAACATAGCTCAGTGCTAAGGCCCTTGTTTTAATCCCTGTAACACCACAGACACACACAGGGTTTACTGTTTCTTTCTTTCTTTCTTTTTTTTTTGGTACTGGGGATTGAATTCAGGTCCTTGTGCTTGTGAGGCAGGCGGCAGAACCACTGAGCTAAATCCCCGGCCCCTGTTACTTTATAATACTGTACCTGTCTCTCATCTGTAAGATGTTGGGAGGACGTGTGTGTGTGTGTGTGTGTGTGTGTGTGTGTGTATATTTGTTTGGTTTTGGTTTTGGTTTTTTTGGTACTGGGGATTGAACTCGGGTCCTTGTGCTTGCAAGGCAGGTGGCAGAACCACTGAGCTAAATCCCCGGCCCAGACTGATATAGATATAGATATAGATATAGATATAGATATAATATGTGTCAAGTACCTGGTACATGCCTGGTACCCTGTATCCATTCATTGTTGAGATATCAGTCATTAAAATGATTCATTCAGAAAAAATTTCATTGATCATTCTGAGTGCCTTTGAGATCCTGGATATAGAAGTATTGACTTAGGGCAGAGAAAGCCACTGCTTTTGTGAGGCTTATAGATGAACAATAAACATGTCAACATTTAAACTTGATGATATGTTGGGAGAAATGCTGCAAAGGACCAAAACAAAATGAGAGAAGATAAACTGAGAGGGTGGGCATTTTATTTATTCATTTGCCATGGGCATTTCAGTGTAATGTGCATGCTGGCCTTGAACTTTGTATTGAAATGATTCTCTCACCTCGCCTCCATAGGAGCTTGGAAACAGGTGTGAGCCACTGCGTCTGGCTGAGAGGATCCTTTTAGGTCCCATGGTGGGGGTAGGCTACTCTGGAAGGTGATGTTTGAGTGATGAACCAGGAAGAGGAAAGAGCAAGGCATTGTAGAGAACCAGGAGAAAAGTGTTTCTGGTAGGAGTAATAGACATGCAGGCCCTGGGCACGAGGGCTTGGTGGGTCTGGGATTCGATGTGGGAAAAACAGATGTGTCCACAGCACAGGAGACTGCACATGTGCAGAAGGTGCTGATGGGGAAGACCTGCAGCCTCTGCTCGGTGAGGCGAAAAGATGCAGGAGGATCCTTTCTGTCCTGCAAGAGTGGCTCTGCCTGAGAGACATGCAGAGGAAGGGATTCTGCAAGGATGTGGAAGGAACTGGGAGAACTGGGTGGCTGGAAACAGGAGGGAGGCTGCACTGTTACTCTTTTTTTTTAATCTATGATATTCACAGACTGCCTTCTGGAAGTTGAACTAATTTATCCACGCCCCACCATCTCCAAGTCAGGTGTGTCCTTCACAGTTGCTCTGTCCCCTGGGCCTCCTTGTACAGTACCAGCCCCCGCTTCAGAACTGTGCTCTCTGGCCCTCCACCATCCTTCCCTGCAGAGGTAAGACAGGCTTTGAAGGCTGTGCAGGAGTGTGTGATGTTACTTACCTCTTGGAAGCTGTCACAGCAGAAGCTGACTTTTAAAATATATTTTGGGCCAGGTATGGAGGCTCATGCCTGCATTTCAGCTACTCAGGAGGCAGAGGCAGGAGGACTGCTAGTTCGAGACCAGCCTGGGAGCTTAGTGAGGACCGCCTCCCGTCTCAATAAAAAACGGGCTGGGGATGTAGCTCATCACTCCCAGGGCTCAATCCCCAGTACTGAAAACTAT